ATGCAGGCAATACACACATACTCATAGAATAAAAATAAATTAAAAAAAAAAAAAGCACTGGATTCTCTTGCAGAGGACCTGGGTTCAGTTCCCAGCACCTACATGCAGCTAACCACTTCAGTTCCAGGAGATCCAATGCCCTCTTCTGGTCTCTGCAGGTGTGCATGCATGTGGTGCACTTACATACATGTAGTCAACATACTCATACACATTTTTAAAAAAATTGTGGGGTGTGGCGATGCACACATTTGATCCTAGCATTTGGGAGGCAGAGGCAGGTGGATCTCTGTGAGATCAAGACTAGCCTGGTCTAAGTTCCAGGTTATCTGGGGCTACAGGGAAACCCTATCTCAAAAGAAAAAGAAAACAACAACAACCCCCCCCATGAACCAAACCAGCAAAAACAAAGAAAAACAAGAAAACTAGTATAAACTAAAAGTAGTGGAGCCGGCCTATAATCTCAGCACATGGATGTGGAGGCAGGAGGACCCGGGTTCAAAGTCATCCTAGGCTAAACACCAAGTTGGAAACTAGTCGGGGCTACATAAGACAAAAAACAACAACAAAAACCCACCAAATAATAATAAATAAAATTTTGTAAAACTGATTAGTATTTTAATTTGCCTCAAGCTCTAAGAAAACAACCACAGGCACTGGAATTTAATCAAAAATACCCTATTTTGTAAGTGAAACAGAAAAAAGGAGGGGGCTACTTAATGTCTGTGCAGCTTCCTGAGGTACAGGAGCTACTAAACATTAACCTTCTCAGCACTGAAGGCAGTCAGGGCCTCTCTCTCTCCTCAGTGGCACCCCTCAGGGTCTACTTCAGAAAACCCTGCAAGTGAGGCTGAGGACGCTGTTCAGTGTGTTCAGTAGTTAAAAGCACTGGCTGCTCTTGCAGAGCACCGGGGTTTGGTTCCCAGCACTCGCATGGCAGCGAACATTCACCCGTAGCCCTAGTTCCATGGGGTCTAACACCTTTTTCTGACCTTACAGGCATGGGAGTATTTCTATAGATGCAAATAAAACACAAATACAAATAAAATATTTTTTTAAGGAAATCCTGCAAGAAAGCTTCAAAGGCAGTCATGGGAGGGTGCTGGCCATGCAGCAAGAAGCCCTGTGTGATGTCTCTGTCCCACATGCGGAGAATGTGAGAGTTTGCTAGGCATCAGTGTACACCCTGGTGCCATCAGCATCGTGGGGCAGCCCCGTTACCTGTTGTCCAAGGGCAGCAGCCAAATTCCCACCAGCACTGTCACCAGAGACGCCGATTCGGCCTGGATCAACCTTGTACTTCTCTAAGACTTCTGGCTTCAGGAAGTATTTTGTGGCACGCATCACATCATAAATTTGCTCTGGAAAGTAAACCTGTGGAACTAGCCTGTACCTGTGAAGACGAAATGTATTCATTTTAGGACTTCACCAAGTTTTATAGGCCATTTAACATTTAAAGAGAAAAATGAAATTTTTAAAAGTCAGAAATAGACAAGAAATTAAAATCAATATAAAAGTAAACCATTTATTTTCTTTTCTTGAAAAATAACATTAACAATTTGGTAGTAGCAAAAATCATTTTTAAAAAAATGGGGGCCAGGCATGGTGGCACACTCCTTTAACTCCAGCAGCTGGGAGGCAGAGACAGGTAGATCTCTGTCAGTTCGAGGCCAATCTCGTCTACATAGAGATTTCCAGGTCACTCAGGTCTACACAGTGAGACTTTGTCTCAAAAAACAAAAACCAAAACCAAAGAATCAAAAACAAAAATAACTTTCAAGGCAGCTACAGTGAGTGTACACCCGTAATCTCAGACCTGAGAGGCTGAAGCAGGAGGTCTGGGAGTTTGAGGCCAACCTGGACTACAAAGCAAGATCCTGTCTCAAAAACAGAAACAAAGCAAAACAAAGAAAAAGCTTTCAGCTACCAAATTCTCCCACTACCAGAAGCTCAAAATGAATACCTTAAATTAAAATGAAGATGTTCATTACTAAGATATAGAGTTATGACATATTTAGGGAAATTTCTGGAAGTCAGCATTCCACTAACAACGGCTCTGAGTCAAAAGATGACTAGGTAGTATTAACTAATCACTGTCTCACATTTAACAAATCTATAAGATATTCTTCACAATTCATTTTAATTTATTTTAAATTTATTTTTATGTGTATGACTATTTTGCTTGCTCGTAAGCATGTATGCATGTAAGTACACCCATACATGCAATGCCCATGGAGGCCAGAAGAGGGTGTGGGATCCCCTGGAACTGGAGTTATGGACCATTGCCAGCTGTCATGTGGACATGGGGAACTGGACCCAGATCCTCTGCCAGAGCAGCCAGTGTTCTTAACCACTGAGCCATCTCTCCAGCCCTTACAATTCACTTAATACAATTATCTCCACTGAAGAGGTCCATGCCAGCCTGACGTTTAACCCAAGAAATACATGCACTCATTGGAACACAGAAGTGAAAGGTCAGTTTTAACCAGTAAAAAGCAAAACTGTTTGCCTGCAGCCTTGTCTGACCATCTAGGACATTTGTAGGGTGCCTCCTAGGGCACACTTTATAAGGTTAGAGTTCTTTGTGATCCTATGCTATACAGTTTGCCAGAACCCTGGTTTTGTCAAAGGTCAAAGTCTTGACTTATAACACCTTCACCGCCCCCCCCCCATGCTTAATTCTTACTTGTCATTCAAGCCTTTATCAGAGGGTTTGACTGTAATTCCATTTGCTTCCGGGGCACAGTCGACTATTCAAGGAAAGCTTTGGTTGGACCTGGTGGCACAGCGTTGCAATGCCAGCTACTTAGGAAGCTAAGGAAGGATTTGGATTCTCCAAAGTCAAGACCTACTTGGGATTTACAGTGAGTTCCAGGCCAGCCTGGTTGACTTAGTGTGATCTTTTCAAAAGATAAAAAATGGAAACAAGGCCTGGGACACAGCTTGGAGGTAGCATGCTACACTACTTCATGGACAGGAGCATTATTCGATTTATTCCACTAGGTGGCATCACCTCTCAAGATTCTATTATCCCCAGTTCTGTGTAATTTGAATATTATTACCAAACTGAATTCCTGATCTGAAGAAAAACAGAAGCACTTCATAGTCAAATTGTGAAAATAAAGTTTTTCATTTCATCAATATCTTGTATACCACAATAAACAGTATCCCTAGCTGACCAGGAGGTAGTACATATTTATATCAGGATTTACATGAGTTAAACTGAGTTTTCGGGTGTTATTTTAGAAAAGGTCTTATTCAGTATTTTTAGATTTAGGGAAATTGGCAATCTACTGGTCAATCCTGTCAGTTAATAACCTGTTGAGATAACATGGTACGTGTACTTAAAAACAACCATATCATCATGCGAAAGTCTTCCTGGTGCCATCAAAGACCCATAGTCTAGTCCAGTCTGGTGGTACAGGCCTGTGAGTCCAGTTACTCAAAGAGACCAAGGCACATTTGCCTAAGCTATAGAGATCAAGGCCAGCCTAGGCAACTTGAGACCCCATCTCAGAAGTTTTTAAAGGGGTCAGTTTCCTAGCACATGTAAGACCCTGAGTTCAAATGTCAGTATCCCTACCCCACCTCCAAATCCATAATCTAAGTTCTCATTTTTGCTCAGTTTTTTTTTCTTTTGCAAGATCTCATTGTGTATTCCTGACTGGCCTAAAACTTGCTATATAGACTAAGCTGTCCTCAAACTTGCTATGTAGCTGAGGATAACCTGGAACTTGTAACTCTTCTGCCACCATATCCCAAGTGCTGGGATGAGAGGCGTGTGCCACCACACCCAACTCAGAGCTAGGATCTTGGAATTTGTGAGTGTGTGTGTGTGTGTGTAAGTATGTGTGTGGGGTATGGGTGTGTGTGTGGAGGTGTGTTCATGAGTGCAGAGGCCGGAGACTAGAATCTTAAATAGAAATGACACCCAAATCCTCCCCACTTTAAAATGTATTTGTTGCTTTCAAAACCCACAACGTTGAAGGTCTGTATTCCTCATCTGAGCAGTAAATGCTAAAAACTAGGTTTTGGTATCTCAGAACATGTCTCATGATTTCAATGGATCTGCCATATTCCCACACAAAACACCTAGCACAGCAAATGGTCTCATATTACATCTATTACCATGTACTTTTCCTTTCCAGGAATCTGGGCGCAAGTCTGTGATCCCAACACTCAAGGGGTGGAGGCTGGAAGATAAGGGCTTAGAGGTAACAGTGAGTTTGAGGCCTGCAGGAGCTATGTGTCTCAAAACAAACAAATAAAAAAACTTCTCCAAAGATAAGGCATATTATCTTCCTAGCCAGATGTGGTGGCACGCATCTGAAATTCCAACACTCAAGAAGCTGAAGCGGATGACGGCCACAAATCAGCAGCCCAGCCAGAGCTACATAAGCAAGAGAGTGTTTCAAAACATCAGGACAAATATGTGATAGACACGCACACACACACACACACACACACGTTCCTTCTGAAATCTGCCAGCACTTTACCTACATAATGCTGGCAATTTCTCAAAAACACTCAGGGAGCCAGATGTGGTAGCACATGCCTTTAACCCTAGCACTGGGGAGGGAGAGGGACGTGAATTTCTAAGTTCAAGGCCAGCTTGATCTACGTATCGAGTTCCAGGCCAGCCAGGGCTATACAGTAAGACCCTGTCTCAATAAACAAAAATACGGACGTGAGCCGAGTACAGCATATTCCGACTGGGTCATTTTGGGGTGAATCCCTACATCTATATTAGAAGACCACCCCCCAATCCCAATATTGCAGCAGCTCAGAAACATCAGAACTGGATCACATCCTTCCCTCTCTCCAAAGGCATCTTTCCCATTCCCAGGATATGGTTCCCACCTCATCCCTGTCACCTCCTCAAATGTTTCCATCCTTGGTCTTTCATTTTAAAGGCCATTTCTTTCATTAAACCTTCTAAGTCCCTCTACTTCCTTGGAGCCAAGGTCTCTCTGACAATACATTGTAACAAAGACACCTCAATTTTCTCTGACTAGAAGGATTCATAATGATACATCAAGGAATCCTGCTGAACACAAAGATGAGCAGCACGGACCCTAGGATCTAACTACTTTTTTGTTTTGTTTTTGTTTTTCTGTTTTTTGTTTTAGACAGGGTCTCCCTGTAGCCCCAGCTGACCTGGAACTCACTATGTAGGTCAGGCTGGCCTTGAACTCAGAGATCTACCTGTCTCTGCTTCCTAAATGCTAAATGC